AAACAGGACCCTTCAGGACACGTCCCACATTCCCTGAAGGTTCCTGTTTGCTGGGATTTATCTTTTATATTTATGATCTAGAATTGAGATCTACTAAGTCTGTTCAACAGTTAAAAATAAATTTAGCATTAAACCACCTAAAACAGACAATAAAGGAAAAAGAAAAGTTATATTTTAGGTATCGGGAACATTCATTCAGAGGCATTGATGCATGAGAAGCTGTAGTCTGTTTGTTATCAGTGTGTTTACCTTCCAGGCGAGTCTCCGTTCTCGTCGAACCAGATATCCTCCCCAGACACTCCCGTGAAGGTCGTCTTGAGGAGGAAGTCCAGCAGGTGGCTTCCATCGACGGGCTTCATGGCGTCGCAGAGCCCCACGTGGCCCGGACAGAGGTGAGTGTGCATGTCGTGCAGGCCGTGAGCCATGGCGTAGATGGCGTTGATGACGAAGCCCATCTTGCTGTCTTGAACATAGTTGTCCTCCAGACTCTCATAACCTGCCCACACAGGAGACACCGGTGAGGACTCCTCTCCAGGATGAAAAATAAAAGCCTTACGGGTCATTGCACCTCAATTTATCAATTTTTTTAAAAAAAGTTCACGTCTGTTCATCTCTTATTTGTCTGATTTTTTTCTGTGAATTTGCATGTTATTAAGTAAAACGTGTGTGAAATCTTTGGTCACAGGTTGTAAAGACGGTTGATTTTTGCATCTTTCTTTGGCGCCAATCTGTGGAGCAATGTTTGAACTGCCATAACATGAGATACAATTTAGCTAGAGTCCTGAAATTATCCAGGTTCGTTGATATTTGCATCTCGTATTTAATGGTGCAACTCTGCTTTAATAGAATAATATAAACCAGTTATATGATGGTGCACATTTGGTCCAAAAAAATCACTCTTCCACCAACCATAAAACCTTTATGTTTCACCCTGAGATGCTAATTTGTTTCTGTCTACTCCGATATTCCACCAACCATAAAACCTTGACTGCTTCTGGTATCACTTTCATTAAATAATTTAAAGAACTATGAGTTGGAAAACCGTGGTTTGTTGATATTACACAACTCTTCCAGTTGAGAGTGGTTTCATCCATCATACTTACTCAATGATTGCCCTAATATTATTCATAAAATGTAATTTTTTAGCATAAAGTATGCCTCTGACTGGCACCATACTCTACATTTTTAAAGCTCCTATCAGTGTCAATCACAGGAAAACAAATCAGCACCTTAGGGTGAGAAATAAAGATTTAATGGTTGGTATAATAACGATTTTTTTTTAAAACCAAATTTGCACCATCATATAACTGGTTTGTATTATTCTATCAAACCAGGGTTGCACCATTGGAGGCCATATGTACATATCAATGAGACTACAAAATGTCAGGACTATAGCTACTTTATTTTTCAAGTTATGGCACTTCAAACGTTGCTGCACAGAAGAAAACAAAAAATCAACATAAACCACCTTCTTTAAGAATTTTTATCTCAAAGACCACCAAATGTCACCTATGAGCCCAGATTGTACACATGTTTAACTAAATCAAAATTTACCATTTAAAGAAAAAAAAATCAGTCAAATTAAAGATAGCCAGGTGTGGGGGATTCGAGGAATTGAGGCGGGATGACCCTGACAGGAAGGGGCTTCATCGCTGCAAGCAGTAGCATGTCATGTGTCTCAAGTCGTTTCTTACATTTCAGGTGTCTGCAGCGGGATGTAACTTATTACAAAGGAGTGATAGGGTGCTCGCAGATGCATTCTTCTCATTTATTCTCTCAATTCAGGCAGCAAGCTACATGCATCTTTGCCTCTGTGGGCCTTTAAAGGAAGTGGAAACCTCAGAAAATGGCTTCAGAGAAACCTTGTCGGCGTGGAAAGACTTCACCGTTTACGCATTCGTGACTCAGGATTCAATTAGTCTAAAACTCTTAAAAAGCCACTGAAAGTCTGTCTCCTCAAGCAGAAGAATAAACCAGCTACTTTCATGCGTTTGAGATCTTCTTATAGGTTTTTTTTTTCCTCAGACAAACAGGATGAAAGTGATTCATGTGTGATGTTCTAACACACCCTATCAGTTCAGTGTAATGCAAGCTAGAAGCAGAGGAAGCAGGGCTTTAGCTGCTTTGTGTTTAAGTGGAAATTATATAAATCTACGTCATGCATTCAGTCTACTGGGATAAAACGGTGAAACAGGTATGTACTATATGTATATCTGTGTTTTATATGAGTGAAAAGCACATTTTAAAATAAATAACTGCACTCAGAATGTTGCACACTCCTATATTCATCAGTTTTCATTCCAAAAACATCCCAGTTTTCTTTTTTCCTCCTTTTACATTAGCTCTTAATCCTAGTAATTTATTGGAGTGTATCTGAAGAAGTGAAAATGACGTGATGCACTGCAGTCTTTGCTTCACTCTGTTACCTTAATCTCTTCCAAAACCCCCGTTTAATATTTGATGCAAAGGAAGTGCAGTATGATGGAGCAACTGAATTTAATATGACGATGTTAAAATATGACTGAATTTTTCCCCAGAGAAGAATATATTTAGCATCGGTTGTCCATTCTGACTGGGGTTTAATGTTTTTTTTTTTTGTTTAACGCAGTTCATCTAGTTCAATGTTAAGAAATAATATTGACATACTGTCTGTTAAAATATTCTCTATAGCTGCTATGTTAAAATTTTTGTTAAAAATGAGTAAGACAGCTGTCTGTGTTATTCAGAAACTCACACTGAATCTAATTATTCTTTTGTTTGAATCAATACTTCTATAACTTATTAGAAGATAGTAATTTACAATATGAAATAATTAATTGTCAGATTGTCAGTATTTTTATTTGTTTGCAAAACATATCAAGTAAAAATCTTTAATATTGTGTAAAAAGTTTAGAAAATTCTTATTATTTTCTGATGATTTATTTATTTCCTCTTGTGAGTTGAGCAAAATCCACATTTTTGGCATTTTCCTCAAATAATTTGGCATTTTGTGTCTCATTTTCAAGTAATAAAAGTGATTTGTTTCTTTTTTTTAAATATTCAATAGTTAATTATTGAGTTTGTTTACAGAATGTAATAGTTTTTAGGTAAGGTCGGGTTAGGTAGGGTTATTTTATTTTTATTTTTTTTTAAATCCAACACAATTTTAGAACATTTCTATTATTTTTTGTCATTATTTATTGATTTATTTTTCACCAATGTTTGTAATCGATGGTATTTTTCTAAAATAATCTGCAATTTTGTGCTTCAATTTCAAGCAATAAAATCTTATTCCAACCATCAGTGCAGTAATAATTGTGTTTTTGCTATAATAAGAAATAATCAGTTGTCAGTTATTAGGTTTGTTTACCGAATGTAATAGATTTCAGGCAGAAAGGCAATGTTTTTAAAAATACAACACAGTTTTACAACATTTTATTATTTTCTCATGATTTATAGATTCTTTTTTGTACTGATGTAGCTCAGTTTTGATATTTTCCTTCAATAGTTTTGCATGCTGTGCTTCATTTTCAAGTAATATAACAGAACACATGCTGTCAGTGCATCTCTGTTGCAGTGGTTTCCTGCTACAGTGTTTTATATGATGCAGTCTTGGCAGAGGTTTGCTTTCTAAATGCTTCCTAGCTGCATAATTTGTCAGCGACACTGTCAGTCCTTTATTCTACACTGTCTTTAAATACGATTCTTCTCCCGCTGTTCCCTGCAGCGTTTCACTGCACGGTAGCTTTATAACATCCGAGCTGCTGCCGCCACTTGTGTCAAACCAAGTAATGATCGCTTGAAAAAAATAAAAATCTGCTGGGAAACTGGCTGCCTGTGCAAACAAACACATAAACAGTAAATTCAGTTAGGTAGCAGCTGGGTGAGCGTCCGATGGGAGCTGCTGGTGATGACCTAGTTTAACAGACTCCTTTCTGCTCGCTGAGCTGCGAGAGCTTCAGTCATGATGCAATGATGCCATGATGTCAGCATGCAAGCAGAAGGACCTACTGCTGCACGTCGGGATTAGTCGGCCGCAAGACAACTCAACCTTCTCCAATGAAGACATTTTTTAAAAATGGACCCGAACATGTGTCATTTTCTTGTGCCTGCATGCAACTTAAGCCGGATCAGCCAGCTACCATCTCACTCTAATGTTATTGGGCTGTTTCAAACCAGGCTAGAAAGGGTGAAAGAGCACAATTATGGGGCTCTGACTGCAGTGTTGCAAAGAAAACAAACACAAAAACATCCCAATAGCTTCATATATTAGAGGTCAACTGAGATTAATTGGAGAATGCAACAGGAAAAACAGATTGAAATCGTCCCAACATGTCATGAAAACCTTAATATCAGTCAACCTCTATGTATATTTCCAAAGTGAGGAGCGTTATGGTTCCATTCAGAGGGATTCACTCACCGTCTTGGAGTTCTACACCAAAATAAATGAATAAAAACAGTAAAAAGGACAGCAAAGAGTAACTCTATCTCCACTTATGAGGCAAAAAGAAACACTCTAATAACTGATATTTCAATATGATGCTTCTTAGAGATGAATAAAAGCTACAAAGAAGAGATTCGGTGCAAACTCTGCAAAGGAAATACGGTAGAAAAAAAAGGTGCGATGGCAAAAACTAAATTAGTATCTCAATAGCGGAAAAAGTAAATAAAAATGGGTTTATCTTTTGCTGCATGCATCGTTTTTATATTTACGTTTATCAATATGTTTTTAAATGATTGGTTGAAAAAGAATTTTACTTGAGAAAACTCACAAAGTAGGATTGAAAACGTAAATATACAGGCTTTTATTTTGAAAAGAAATATGTATGAGCTTTTTTTTTTAAGGAAACATGCTTGTTGAGCATTGTTTCAGGAACTTAAGCTAATGCATTAATTTTGCTCCTTTGCAAATAAAAAAAAAGGATTTAATTTACCTAGTTCATCATCCTCTGTAAAGCCAAGTGTCACGGAAATGAACAATATGAAAAAAATATGTGTTACTGGATTGACTTGGAGAGAATTCTACCCTCTGGCAGTCTAATTCATAATTAAAAGCGTGTGTTCCAGTTTACGAGGGGCCTTTTGGCACCGTCCTCTGGGCATTGAACACATCAGAACCGTTCAGAAAGACAAGCGGATGTGCACGCCGGCGTAAAAATAAGAAAACCAGGGAAAAAAAAAAAAGAACAACATCATAATTGCTTGACGAGCTGTTTATACCTGAGCAGTTTCGTGCATAATTCAGGTTCTCCTGGGGGTGGCCGGGAAGGCGGCACTGGAACCGGTACTGCCAGAACTCGGGGAACCAGGGGTTGCGAGTGTTGGTGCTGAGCCGCAGCTTCAGGAAGTAGTCGTCGAAGGAGGAGACCTCTTCGGACTGCAGCTTGACGGTGAGGCCGCCCACAGCCTCCTGCTCGTATCCCTCCACCACCTCCACCCGGTCGGCCCAGCCGTCGCTGCACAGAGGAGCACACTGCAATCAGAAGAACTGCAAGAAGCACAACCCCAGTTTGTGCTGCATGTGTGTCAACATTTTATCAAAGCCTTAGCAACTGTTTTTGCTCCTGAATTGCTCTTTTACAATTCAAATGTATTCAATTTTAGAATATAAAGGTGAAAAACATTTCACAAAATCCAACATCTGGCCTCCAGCTGATGTAAAACACACAAATACACAATTAAAACCTGAACTCACAACCTCAACAAACCAAGACAACTTGTGCTGCACATGTATAAACATCATATTAAAGCCAAAGCAACTGTTTTTGTTCCTAAACTGCACTTATCTAATTCAAATGTCTTCATTTCTGGAATATAAAGGTGCAACGGTGCAAAAAATTTTTTTTTTTTACAAAATTCTGCATCTGACATCCAACTGACATAAAACACACAATTACACAATTTAAACCTGAACTCACAACTTCAACTTACATAACAAACCAAGACAACTATACACTACCTGTCCTACACATGTATGAACATTATTTTAAAGCCTAAGCAACTGTTTTTGTACTTAAATTACACTTTCATATTCCACATTTTTTTGTTTAGGTGCAGATGTGCAAATAAACATTTTACCAAAGTTACATTTTTCCTATTGAGCCAACATCTGGCCTCCAGATGATGTAAAACACACAATTAAACAATTTAAACCTGAACATAAAACCTCAACTTAAATGACAAACCAAGACAACTTGTGCTGCACGTGTATAAACATCATATTGCATCATATAAACCACACTTTTCTAATTCAAACATATTCATTTCTGGAACGTAAGGGTGCAAAAAAACATTTTACAAAATCCAACATCTGGCATCCAGATAACACACAACACACAATTACACAATTTAAACCTGAACACACAACCTCAACTTAAATGACAAACCAAGACAACTATATACTACATGTCCTGCACATGTAAGAACATTATTTTAAAGTCTAAGCAGTCTGTTATTGTACTTAAATTGCACTTTTATATTTCACATTTCATATATTTCTTGAGTATGAAGGTGTAGATGTGCAAATAAACACTTTACCAAAGTTAGATTTTTCCTGTTAAGCCAACATCCTGCTGATGTAAAACACACAATTACACAATTTAAACCTGAACACACAACCTCAACTTAAATAGCAAGTCAAGGCAGTTATACACTACTTGTGCTGCACATGTATAAACATCACATTAAAGCCAAAGCAACTGTTTTTGTGGCTTAACTGCACTTTTCTCATTCAAATGTGTTCATATCTGGAACATAAAAGTGCAACGGTGCAAAAAACACATCTGTCATCCAGCTGACACAAAACGCACAAATATACAATTTACACCTGAATAGACAATCTTAACTTGAATGACAGATCAAGACCATTATATAGTTCTAAACATCACATTAAAGCCCAAGTGGCTGTTTTTGCACTTAATTGTGCATTTCTAATTCAAATGTATTCATTTCTGGAGCATAAAGGTGCAGCGGTGCAGATAAACATGTTAGAAAAGTTCCATGTTCCTTGTTCATGCAACATCTGGCATCCAGCTGACATAAAATATGCACGTGTAGCATTTAAACCTGAACACACAACCTCAATTTAAATGACAAACCGAGAAGACTGTATATAAAAAATTACAGAAAATTGCACAACAAATACAAGACTGCACTAAAATAAAACATTTTTCTGAAAAGATCTATGAACTGAAGGTTTTCCAGAATCCTATTATAATTTTTTTGGCCATTTAGATGAAAAAACATAGATTTTGCTGCTCAAAAATAAAAAATATGACTCATGATTTATACAAAAATGGCCAGAAACTATATATATCTTGAATTTTCCCAAGGGGATGAATAAAAATAAATATCTATGTGTAAAAACCTAAATATTAGTTATTACTGTATATATTGGCATTACTTGCAGTGTATAGAACAACCATCATCTCTGGCTGCCTGGACACAAAGCACACCGTTGCAAGTTGTATTAATTATCTTTATTTGCAACCAACAGAGTAATTTTTTCATCCAGATGGTTCCAAAAGTCTCCGAGGATGCTGGAAATACCTTCAGAGCGGCAGTAATTATACCTAAACAGGCTTTTTTTAAACTATTGCAGGGTATCGATTTTTGAGAAAAGACATCTGACTTGAATGCAGCGTCAATACATACTAACCTGTAAACCCTAAACCCCGACTCTAACAGGCGTCTGAAGTCAAACACGTTTTCCACATTTTGTAAGCAGAAAACATCAATCAGCATCTGACAGAGGAAAATCAACCTGCTGTTTTATCACGCTGAGCTCCAGCAGTGTCATGTTTGAATCTGCATACAGCCACGCACACCAGACTGAAGCCTTTTGTTTCCTTGACTTTGTTTCCCTTTCAGCCTCCCTGCTGAGGGGCGGGCAGAGCTCACTGTACTTGCCGAAAGAAGAAAAAGGGAAAAAAAAAAAAAAGTCCACAGACACAATCACAACTCCGGCGAGAATTCACAGATTAGTACTGTAGCAGTGCAAGCTGCTCTCGCCCGACACACAGACTCTGAAGTGCGATTCTTGTGTCTACGCCGGTCATAATTCGTATTTATAGTTTACAGGCTCGACTATTTGTGATTCAGTCCTGCAGCGAAAGATCACGAGACAAAAAAACCCCAACCTCCTGTTGAGTGTTTTTGATGAAACTGTGTGTCGTGTGGAATTAAATCCATTAATTTATACATGCAATATTGTTTTTGCATGAAATAAGAGAGGAACACAAGGGATATTAGAGGCCTAAAATAACCAATTCTAATAATGATTTGGCATAAAAACAGCTCCTTAGACTGCATCAACTTCAATCTTTATGTGCAGAATTCCAATATTCCTGTAGCATGTAAGTGCAGCTTAACAGGATATTTTTTTCTAACTAAGAGATATGAAACTTCCCCAGATGATTACTCACATGAAGACAATTTTATTTTGCTAAATTACTTGTTACTTTTTTAAAGTGTCCAACTATGCAAATGAGGGCAAATCTATCAAAAAAAAAAAGTTGGTATTTGTGTATATTTCCAGAAATCTGAACATTGGATGAAGTCAGGTTTGAAATTCTTGCTTCATTTTGTGACATATTAGAGTCTTTTTAGAGGTTTATAAATCAGAAAATACAGTCAAGAGCCACAAAAACGTTTAGTTTTTTAGGAATGCAATGTTTGATTAATCAGGTTATGGATAAATATAGTTGAACAAACTGTATGAAATGTTTATTTGAACAAGTATGCAGCACAAACCTCACTGGCATTGTCACCACGTTAGCTTGAAGCAGTGCACAGGATGAGAGAAATATCTACTGGTACAGTTTTCTGCTGAATGACTGTGGTGAGTGACGCACTGAACAAATAATACAAATGCAGCATGCAAATGGCGTCTTTTCTCTTTTGGCTTGGAGAAAAACCTCATTTCTGTAGCTTTGGGTGGAAACAGATGGAATTTAGCCAATTGTGCATCACAGGTTTTTTATGATTCTATCCCCTGAAATGTCCATCAGCTTATGATGACCTTCAAGAAGAGTGAGACGTCAACACATCAGTAGCTCAATAGTCACTGATGACAGATTAATAAATTACACATAATAAACTTATCCAACAATCCATTATCTACACTGTAAAAAAAAACAAACCTGACAGCAAGAACGCCAGAAAAATATGTAGAAAACATGGTGGAATAAAGTAGCATTAAAAACTGTAAAAACTATTAAATGTATGCCTGGAACATAGTTGATTTTCAGCTGATTTGAAAGCAGTAAAACAGTCATTTCAATGCAACACATGGAAAAGAGCAAATTATCATTTATAACGATGCATATTTTTGAGGTGGACATTATTTAGTTTTAGTCTTTTAGTCTTTTTCTGTGATTTTGTTAGATATTATCTGTAATTTAACAAAAAAATCTGTAAAAATAACATGAAATGATTCAAAACATTTGAACTAAATGAGTTAAAACTGTTAAAAACATTCCTTTTTTTTTTTAACAGTGTCATGGATAGAAAGCGATAGATGGGTAACATCCATAGCTTTGCATCTCTGTGTTGAAGTTTCCACTTATGTACACATCAGTCCGTCACATCCAGTAAATACACAGAATTATATTGAACTAACTGCGTTCAAACAGACTTTTCTGGCAAATGTTTCAACGAACCATCTGTCTGCCATCTGTTAACCAAGTTCTAACATTTCACTTCCACCGCTGAGAATGAACACAAATGATAAGAAACTCAAACTTTGAGTGTTCATTTGTACCTTAGATATTGGCCGTATGAAATATAAATGATTCAAACTCATCTTACAAATTATCCAGCCAAAAAGTAAAATGTGTTGGGTGAAAACTTTGTGCATGAGGAATGAGGGACTTGGTTTAAATAACAGGAGAGTCTGGGACATTTAGATGCTAAAACTGATCGATACACACACACTCAGCATTCTTTTAGGGCTTATTTCAATGTTAATTTATTCATTTAGTGGCGCTGGTTGCATCAGGGGTGCTGTTTGGCTGTGTGTTGGGTTTTGGGTGAGGTCCATTCAAGTTTTATTTTCATTTTTTTATGCCGGAAAGGTGCTGAAATTCATGAGAGTTGGGCATGCTGGTACCATTTTCACTGTATTTATGGTTTGTATTGTATTTCAGTTTATCTGTGTGTACTGCATATGTAGAGATATTAGCACTTAGGTTCGCTTTGACTTTATTTTTTTTTAATTTAGCTGCATCCACAAGCTCTCTTTCCTCGTTGTTTCCTCACTCATATTGTACTGTCATGCTCCAAAACTCTTCTGTTCGTAAAGTCTTACAAGAAATATCTGATTTAATGTCACTGTCATCCTCTCACAAGCTGAGTTGTAACATCTCAAAATGGTATCAACTGGTGTTCACAGGTTATTTCTTCAGCACTGGGCCTTTTTTTTTACAAATATAAATACAAGTTATGAACTCATACCACCACTGAATTATAATTAGATCCATATATATTCCATTATATTTAGAATTTTGTCTTTTCCTTTCCATAAATTAAGACATTTCCACCATAAACGGATGCAGAAAAAGCTAAAAAATGGTGCAAAAAAAAAAAAACTCATCTGGATGCACAGAATGAAGCATTTGATGCTCAGAGATCATCCCCAACATTCCAACCTACACTCCTGTCTGTCACTACCCTCCTAAAACAGCTTTATCCTGTGAACAGACAAACAAATCTGGGGCAAAACAGTCCATGTTCTTTTACACACAAAACAGAAAAATGCTGTTTTAAAGATGCTGAATATGGCACAAACGGTAGCTCAGCCACAGGACAAAAATACCGGACTTCAAAAACCCACATTTCGAGCGTTAGAAGCCGAAGCCAGCAGCACGTTTGCTTTGGCTGCCACTTCAAGAATGAACCGACAATGGCTGTCCGGCGTGACAGTATCGACAGTACCTGACCATCTGCTTCTCAGCATCACACCCCACCCAGTCCAACGGTGCCGGTGCCAAAAACCTACAGCTCTGACGTCAACTCATGTATGTACTGTACAGATTTATAACGCCGGGTTTAATTTAGGCCAGGGGAGCATTACTGAAAGAATGAAGCTGAATTTAAAAAAAAACAAAAAAAAAACCAAGACTGGGAGTCAATTGCAAGTGATGGAGGCTCGTAAACCTTCTTTCATCACCTCCAAAGCAATGGGAGCCTCACTTGAGAGTTGATCAAATGAGTTGTTTGTTGTCGGAGCTGTGTGGGATCTGTGGTGTGAGAACAGCCGCCGCTTTCATCCTCCACGCAGCAGCAGAAGAAGAAGACGGATGGCCGATGACCAGCACCTCAGGCGTTCCGATTGGCCCGCTGCACAGGCCCGCATGTGTTCACTTTACTGCATTGCTCTAAAAAACATTTTCCTTTTTCAGTCGTCTCCTTGACCCAGAAAACACACTCGCACGCCGCTCTCCACCCTCCTTATCTTCCGTGGAGACTTGAGCAGCAGTGCAAATTCGAGTGGAAAGGGTGAGAGCGAGTTTAGGCTTCAACAACGCCCCATTTTTCTTTTTTATATTTCATCATTTGGGTTCCATGAAGGTTGGCTCTGCTCCTTCTCATCAGCCTTTGTGCATAAAAGAGCCACACATTAACGAAGCAGTGAATTAACCATGGCCGGCCTGGTTCTTTTCTTTTAGGTGCTGAAACTGCTCCTAACAGGACTCGAGGTGAGCCGAGACTCCACAAAGAGGGAATGTGTCTGCTGTATGTGCTGATATGAGCTTTGATGTTCACTACTCCACATTCCCCAGCTTATGCTGGAGGTGCTGTCCCATATTAGCCCATCCTGCCTGTGATCTGACAGGGAGCGGGAGAGCTCGCTGCGTGGATGCATTATTCATCACTGAGCCTGACTCAAAGCATCTTCTGCTTTCAGAGGAGCAACTCGGCTCCCGTTAGGAAAAGAAGAATATTTCGGTTCCATATGAACTTTTTTTTTTTTTTTCTGCATACAATCCTTTCTGAGTGTGGCTGAATATTATAATGAGGAATTCAGTATCCACGTCTGGGTCTGAAATATATGATGGTGTTTTGTCTGTAATGAATGCAACTGAAAGAGCAGCTAACTGTGGTTTTCAAGATCAGAAATGAACTTTCAATCAAAGCCGTGACGCCGTTATGGAGGAGCGGTCCTCAAAGTGCTCGCAAAGGTGTGAATCCATCTGCAGACGAATGTGATTGAAAGGTTGCAAAGAGCCACTAAATGGAGCTTGCGGTGAGATTATTTGGTCTGCTGCCTTCATAGTCATTACTTCCACAATGCCATTAATAAATGTGGCACAAATGGCTGAAGTTATGAGAAAAATTGAACAATTTCGAGGTTTTGCAGTTATTAAACTCTGGCTACTGAGCTGCATATTTCCGATGTGCATAAAACCTGGCCAGTGCATATCGTTCTCTTATGCGTTGTTGTCTGTTTTCCCCTTTAACCTCACCCTAACAGGACGAGGCAGACAGCCACTTTGCCCCAGCCTGGTTCTGCTGAAGGTTTCCTCTGCTTAAATGGAAATCACTGGATTTGTTGGATTGCCTCTCTTTAATATAAGACTCGCTTTACCATGTGATGTGCCTTGAGATGACTTATTGAACAGAATTAAATATACAAATATGAAAAAAATGAAAACTCCACAGCAGCAGGTCAACAAGCTGTTTAAAGTTTGTTTTTATCCGTGTCCACAGCAAGAAGCTCCCGGGTTTGAACTAGTAGGGTTTTCTTTACATGGAGTTTGCATGTGCGTTTTTTCACACAATCCAGCGACATGCATTGCAGGTGAATTTGTGATTCTAAATTGATTTGGTTGTCTGTTTTTTTGTGGTTGCCCTGCGGTTGACTGGTCGCCCAAAGCCAGCTTGGATGAGCTCAAGCAAATCTGCAAACGTCTACATGATAATAGACAATGCATGTGGCAATGCATCGATAGAAACATCTGCAGCTGCATAACAACTGGGCTAAATCCATCTGCATGTTGATAATGAGATTATGACGGTCAACGACAATCATCTGCATTATTGAAACAAAGGCACATGCGGCACAAGCTGGCGTGTTTTCCCTTTTGTTTGGTCTTTCCGTTTGCCCGTTTTTAGCACGTTAACTGACTTTCACAGCCATTAAATCATCTGTGGACCTACTGGAAACCAGCAGCCATGAGAAAGACAGAAAGAAACACTTTTAATCATGCTTGTTTGAAAACTTTTCACCCCACAAGAACCCAGCAGGGCTGATGGAGCCGAAAGCCTCGTGGGAAAACATTCTCCAACAAACCTGCCAATTAGGAGGAACTCTCCGGCTACTCCGAGCCGCCTCATGGCCATGAGCAGCCCTCGGACCGTCATGCCTTCACAGAAGCAGACAACGACTCGGGCTTTGGGCAGACGCTCCCGCAGCTTCCTCAGCAGCCTGTCGAAGTGCTTCTCGCCGGCGTTGCTGTAGATCTTGTCAGAATGGGCGATGCAGAGGCCGTCCTGCGAGGCGAGCTCTTTGAACACCTCCATCCCGCTCTCGCCATAGTTACCTGAGACAGACGAGAGCAGCTGTCAGGTGAAGTTTAATAGGTTCTCATTCATACGTTGACTCAGACAAATCCATTTTTTTGCTTAAACGTCTCTTTTCTTCTTTTAGCATTAAAGTGGTTCATTGTGTCCCCAGACAAGAGCAGCGCAACTGGAGCAAACGGGGTGACGGTGACCTCAGCAGCAGCAGCAAGTTTTGTCACTTTTAGGTCACCTGTCCAGATGTTTCACAGCCTACAGCTCCACTCATAAACCCGACAAACTGGCTTGGTTGGAATCCAGCTGCTCCTGAGATACCTGAGTTTTTTTTGTTTTTTTTTTATTGCAAACACCACAAACAGATATCTCTCACTGTAAACAAAGAAGGCCTGCCAGCTTTTTTGATTGGATTTTTATCAGCGTATCTTAAACTTATCTTCATACTGCATCAATAAAATGAAGAGATTAGCAACAGATGCTTCATGGGTGTTTCAGGTATCACCTCTGACTCAACGCTGTGGGAGGAATTTTAATTATTGTGATCTCTCTATGCTCTCACATGCTCGTAGGATATAGTCTCCAGTTATATCATATGGAAAAGCCATGCAAAAGCCTTATTTTTGCAAACTGAACATGTCTCATATATATTTGTACACAGTGATGCTGCAAAACGTGGACTGAAAATGAAAAAAAATACAAGATAAAACTATATTATTTTGATGCAGCTCAAATTTCAGCTGCAAAATTGTTGATTTGCATGTATTGCCATTATTTTCTCAATTAATTAATTACCTTTTTGTACACAGAAATGTCCACGTAAATGTTCCCAAAATGCACCAGATTGAAATGGCAACTGCTACTTAAAGATTCTGTCCAAACAATCTAAACAAATCAATTCTTTCAGCTTTCGTTGCAACAATAATAGGAGCAGCTCATAAAGACTCCTGCCAGCAAATACTGAGAAGAAAAGAAAAGAAAAAAATATCTGCAGGAAAGTAATCTCTGTCTCAGCTATATGCAGCTGGTCCTTATGGTATTTGAAGAATAAAAAGAAGCCTTACAGTAAATTTTCTAGAAAAAATAAAAGAGACCTCACAATAGAGAACTCCATTTAATCTCTCCTCTTCCTGAAACTGCCCACTACTTCAACTAATACCACATGAATGAGCCTCACAAAAGAGCCTCCACTTCCGTCTGCGGCCGCCTGCTGTTTGAGCAGCGGTCCGCATCTGTCATATAAAATAACAACTGCGACACAAAACAACAGCGATTAAATCGCTGCTGTGCCTGTAGTGGTTAAAAAGCTCCTGTCTGCCTCAAAGGTGGATCTCTCTCCTTCCTGAATTTCATTTCCAGTTTGCCTTCCTGTAGAAAGAAACAAGCTCTGCGAAGACAAATCTGTTGATCCATTAAAGGGGCATTGCAACAGTTGTAGACATTTAAATTAGAGTTGGATAGATGGATGCTTTATTCATCCTCTTGGAGAAATTCGAGGTACTCACACATTCAAGAAAGGTACGCAAAACAACATGCAAAAGAATGAACATGCAAATCATGCTGGATGAAGTAATAGAGATAAGCTGCTGTTATTTTTTTTTTTTTTTTAAAAAGGTGCAAAATTTCTGGTATATACAATAAAATAAAGCATAATAAAAGTACAAAAGAGCAAACTGTAAAAGTAGAACTAATAATAAGCATATAGGAAGCAAAAGTGCGCAAAAAATTAACCCCAATGATGTCATCTGGGTTACCTCGGCTTGTGTAGGAGGCTAAAAACTTGATACCAGATAGTCTGTGGATCATCAGATTTAAGGAGGCATGAAGGGCCTCGTAAAAGCCATTGAGCTGCATTATGATAAATGTGCAAGTCAGGATGCTGCTTAGTCATTCTTCAAGAGCCCCCACTGGTGTGTTATTTTGAATTAAAAAGCCGTCTTACCGTCTGTGTGAACTGCAGACACGTAGGTCCAGTTGTAGCGTTTGACGATGTCCAGCAGGGCTCTGGCCTGGAGAGTGTCCGAGGGCACGACCCTGAGGAAGTACTTGAACAGCGTCTTGTCGCCGAGGTCGATGCTGGTTGCGGAGTAGGCGATCTGCGGGATGTTGAACAGCTGCAGAAGGTTTTGGACCTGAATCGCCACCGAGCTGGAGCCGGGCCCGATGACCCCCGCGATGGGCTTCTTGGTGGGCGGTGGCTGGCTGGAGGGGACGCCCTCGATGCACCACCTGGAGCCCTCCCTGTCGTCCCGGATGGAGATGAGAGAGTCCCGGATGAACTCGATGCTCTGCTCCAGAGCCACCGACGAGTGCCAGCAGGAGTCCCTGATCTCGCAGCCCAGGGTGATGTTGGGCAGCAGGTTGGGGTCCGAGTTAATCCGATCCAAGGCGTGGAACATGGCCTCCACTCTCTGGATGCCGTACTGCTCGCGGACTTCCCCACATTTCCTGTCCGCCACCTTCTCGGCAGATGGTTGGTGGTGGACGGAGAAGAGGGCGCCGATTATAATATCCCCGTCCATCCTGGCCACCAGGCGGGTGGCCGAGGTCGGCACCACTGACCTCTCATACTTCCCTTTGGACAACACGAACGCCTCGAACAGCAAAATGGGCAAATACAAAATGCTTGTCGCAGTCAGGAGAATCATATTCGACATTGTGCCACAAGTGCTGAGTGTAGAATCATGTCCAGTTGGCCATCATGGAGGTCCATCAATCCTCTGAGGGTGAAACGGGTGATTAACTCAGCTGCTGCTTCTTCAGTGGTGTCAGCCTGCACGTGAGACATGGAGCATTAATTCTAATCAGAGCATAAACACCTCAAAAGTGCTGCTTTTACTTGTCCTGAATAAGAACATAAACGCAGCATGTATATTTCATCAACTTTTGTCCAAGTGTGTCACTGCAGGACACGGCATGAACAGAATGGACGTCATGAAACCACCAAGTTTGCACCATATTGGAAACGATGATGAGCAGATGGAAAGTGGCGTCAGATCAGAAATCACAAGTCATAATGATGCATCGAATTATCAAGGTTGTCGATGCTGCTTGCAGAATGAGTTTTGCTCTTCCCCAAGGACTCGATGGAGCTGACAGACATTTTTAGGACTCAAAGTCGACTGATATCTTCAGGGCTCAGGAAGTTGACGGACATTTTTAGGACTCGGTGAAGCTGACGGACATTTTTAGAAGGCAGAGTCAAGTTGTCAGACACCCACACTTGTCTAAAGCTATTTCTTAGCCCACAAATTTCTTTCAACAGCCCAAACTGACACACTGGAGTCCATCCCACCATCTCATTCTCATTTTTCTCTTGTCATTTAGATAAAGCCGCATTTAAAATTGTCCTTTTACAGTCACCAGTCATTAAGTGTCTGATTAGGGTGTGGATTAATAATAATAATCATAACACATCTTATTTAGAAGCGCCTTTCTGGACACCCAAGGACACTGTACAGAAAAATAGAAAACAAATAAAATACAGGCATGATGAAAGGATAAAAACAACATACAACAGTACAGGGCGAGGAACAATGTGGAGCAGTTACAGAGAATATGGATTAACTCAGTGGTTAAGAATTTATCACCAGTTAAACCCGCTTTAAGAAAAACTTTTTCTGCAAAATTGGCTACATCTAACCATTTTCTACAACACAGGAGAAAAAAAGGACCATTTGCATGCTGCATTTATATCTTTGTTCAGTTTATGTTCTTGCTTGGACAAAATCAGAGATCAGGATGTGTCATTTTCAGTTCTAACAATGAAAATGATGAAACACTCAGCTGTTGTTTTAGTGACTCGGTTGCATCATAACGCTCTAAAAGATAGAGTTTTCCTCCCATTTTCTATCACATATTACGCAGCAGTATGACACAGGTAGAATGGCAGAAATCATTAAAAAGAAAAAGAAGATTTTTTTGGTTCAAAAACATGCAAAAATTAAAAAATATACAGACTGAAGGCTTCGTAAATATCTACAGGTTAGAGCTAAAAAACGAAATATATTGCATTACATACAGAAATGTGCTGATCTGCAGGACATGAAGTTATTTCTCTTTCAAGTTTCAGCATTCAGCACCACGGACAGCTGCCTTTCTCCAGCTGCTTCTCTATTTCAACCTGCGACTGCTGCTTCTTCAACTTTTAACCTCCAAAGAAAATCACATACGAGACTAAAAAAAAAACACACACACACATCCTCCACCTGAATCATCTTCCCACCGCTGAGTCCTAATCCTCCGTGGCAGCTCTACACCGGTGTCATTCACAGGACAAGCCGTCGTCACTTCATGCACATGCAATCCTAATTACAGGCTGGAGCTTAATTGACTGAATATTCGAGCAGTTTGAGGCGAACGGTCTCATGATGAAGCAGGAGAGGGTCTGTGTGTGCGTCTGAAGAGTGTGACAGATGTGACTTTACGTACCTGCAGCAGGCAGCTCGGGACATAGTGGATCAGTGAAGCAGCCAGACTGGACTCTTCTGCCGAGACAACACGGTGGGACTGACTCTCTCTCTCCCCGGATCAGTCATTCTGAACCTCTCTCTCCCTCTCTCCCTCTCTCTCTCTGCACTGATCATGAGATGCCCCCTTCTTCTCTTCACTGCATTTTGAAAGCGGGTCACACTCACTGCAGTGTCCCTGATTCTGGAGCCACAGTTCACACACGTCAGAAGACAGAATGATGCATCCAGTTAATGACACTCTGGGAGGGAAATATTCAGATGCATGTGGGGAGGGAGGGAGGGAGGGAGAGAGGGGGGAAATGTGAATAATTAAAGGGGAAATGGGAACTTGACTTGATCGCAGCAAATCAGTGTGAAGAAAGAGGACGTTTGTGTTCAGAGTGAAAACTGTGAATGGACTCGTCAAACTTCACCTGAATGATGCCTCCTGCGTCGTGTCTGACACTGACAGATGTGATGCACTTTGCAATTCACTGCTGCAGCCGTGAGCGGAGGTCGGCCTCTGCTGCCACCGCGTGGACGGAACATGCAACTACAGCTGCAGCCAAAATCTAACTTTTTTCGGATTCAAATCAATCGTGCTGTAAGGTCACAGCAGAAACTCTGTGGAGACAAAGCAGCTCACAAACTTGCTGCTGAATTTTACATTGCATTAATCCATGTGGTTAAAAAGAAATCAAGCAATAATGAAATGACTGGGGGGAAAAATTGCGAACAAGAAGAAAGGACATATACAACCAACGTGATTTATCTGCTATGAGCATATGTTAAAACAAAAACTCACTGTAATAATTTGTTAGAAAATAACTGACATAAAGTTGATCAAATACAGACAGAAATAAAATAAATAAATAAAACATAGTGTCCAGAAATACATACATTTCAAATACGTACGTTTAAACTGTAAAATTGGTGTCATGAATGTATTGAATGAAATGAATGAATGAAATGAAAAATACTTTATTCATCCCAGAAGGGAAATTCAATTGACCTTTTATATATAATAAATAGCAAATTAAATATTAGAGTTAAGACTTTAAAATATTATTTATGTGAATTTGCACTGTTATTATTATTGCTTTTGTTATTGTTGTTTGTTATTATTGTTGCTATTGCTGTTATAATTATTGTTGAAAATACTGCTGCTATTAGTATGATGTAATACAAATTTACCGGACTACCTAGAATATTATGGTTACAACCGTACAATATTATAAAATACACATTTATTTTAACTGAATTAAATCACAAAGATAAGACCGTAGAATATTTTTAATTATGCAAATTTACCTAATTTACATAGTACAATAAAGACCCTTACCATATCAAAGACTAAATTACTTGGCTAACTTAAATATAATAGTTGAAACCCTACAATATTTTTATGATGCAAATTGACCTGACAATATTATATGAGATAGAAATGTACCTGACTACATCTAAATGAAATATTATTAATTTTACTTATGCAAATGTCCTGACCAATATAAATGTTGGTGTCAAGCCTTTAAATATTACACTAAACACAAATTTCAAAATTAAATTTATGGCAAGCTCCTATAATATTATTAATTACGCACATTTAGTAGACTAATTTAAATGTTGAGTTCAAGACCTTACAATGTTATATACGATACAAATTTGCCCGTCTAAATCTCAATAAAATATTGTGATCAAATCCTCACAATATGTTTGATAGTTCCAACAATAATTAGAACAAGAATTAGAATAAGAATAAAATTAAAGAATCAAACACACAATAAATAAATAAATAAATAAATGTATAGCGATAGAAATAAGTAAAAATAAATAAATAAAATTGTCAGTGCAAAAAGGAAATAAAATAAATAAAGAAAATAATGATAAATTATTCTTATTACATTCTTCTTCTTCTTCTTCTTCTTCTTCTTCTTCTTATTATTATTATTATTGTTATTATTATTATTGCTATTACTATTATCATGATTATAGTTACTATATTACATGATTATTGTTGTTGTTATTACATTATTGTTATCGCATAATTATTATTTTACTACATATAAGTAATTAATAAAAGTAGTAAGTTACTGCCAGTAGCTAAAACCTGTATTTTATTTTGTAAACCGTCCCTCTGCTTGCGTCACGTCCTGTATTTAAAAATGGCGGACGTCAACACTGATGTCTGGAAATGAAACTGTGTTTTGGTGCATTTCATCCTCGTCTTCAGGAGCTGCAGCTCCATGAAACCTCCTGAGGAGCAGCGGTAACCGCCGGAGCGTTCAGCAGGAGCCTCACACAGTAAATATCCGCCTTGTTTGAACCGCGTGTTGACAGTGGGACCGTGAAATGCGCATCGCTGTGTGAAAGTGCTCCCATTGTGTAACAGTGTTCAGACAGTGCTGCTCTGCTACCTGAGTCTGTGCCACCAAAACTTTCACCGAAACGAGGGACAGAGTTTAAAAGCAGCAACTTTTCCGCCAATATGTAGGTGAACACTGTGCAGGGTTTTAGTAGTCAATATATAGATTTTGCGAAAATGAAGGCCTTAAATGTCATTAAAATGATTACATTTGATTCTT